AAAAATGGTAAATATGAAGATAAATTTAAAGTTGAAAATATAATTCCAAGAAAACAAGATATCATCTTTTAAAACTGGGTAATAACGAATTTTTACAATATTGTGATCTGATTAATATGATTATTTATTCTATTTTGAGTAATTGTAATGAAAGGAATATTAAATTCATTCTGAATATTTCTGTATAATGTCATGAATTGAAAAGAGTGTCTGCTATGAATGATTTTAAGTAAAATTTGTGTTACTTGTGATTTTTATGTTAATTTTGATAAAGAGAAGATTAATATAGTTATTGATGAGTATTTGACTTATTTAATGATATATAATCCACAGTGTAATCTTGTTGTTTGTTTGTGTGTGTGTGTGATATAGTATATATTAGAGTTTTGGTCTAGAATATAATTATTCAGATTCAATATAGTTTATTTTATAGTGCTCATATTTACCAATTGAAAAAACATTGTGAAATTAATTGATCTTTTCTAGTTCAAAGATTAAAACTATGATTAAAATTGAGAAATCTCTATTATTCAGAAAGAATCTACTTTTTTACTTTAAATTTCATAACCAAATTTTTATATTTTTAAGAAGGACAAGGTATTTGTGTATCAATCAATTAAAATATTTGGTTTCATATGAAAATTGTATTTACAACGATTTGAGAATCATAGAAATAATCATTTTTAAAGATTGTAAACTGTTCCTGAGCCTTTTACAGATAGAAAAAGAATGTCTGTATTAAGTTGACAATAGCATTGTCTGGTGTAAACAATTGTTGACATACAATACAGTAGCGGTACTGGTATGTCATATATACATGTACCAGTTAGGTAGATAAAGATGTAGAATCTCCATATGCATTAGTTGTAGAACAGAACGACAACTGCTCCCATGCTATATCATTGTTTGGCAATTGAAACTTTTATTATGCCAACATGATTACGTTTTGGATATTCTGAACCGTTATTGCTACTGTATTATGAAGTTAGATCAGTCCTGATTTGTAATGATGTTACCTTTAGAGTTAGATATTTAATGTTCAGTAGATGATATAGTTCATCAGAACTGTAATAATGTGTGTATGTTTCAGAAAATTTGAAAGATAAAAAAGAAACATGAAAGATGAAATACATACATTTTGTTTTCTATATCCCTTCGTCCACCAAAGCAAGATGATTCGCAGAAGACATCAGCTGAATTTTTGTTTTCATTTTACATCTCGCCTCTTGTGGAAGGTTGGAACTATTGTTGAGTTCCCCACAAGAAGACTTAGGGTTGATCTTGCATAGTTACATAACTCGGCTCATGTGGAGGATTTCGACTTTGGGCGTGTGAAAGTCATATTTTCTCAGTACGGATAATCCGTCACTTGAAAACTCCTAGGCCTGCTATCCTTGCAAAGAGTTATCTTTCAATTTTAACGTGTTACTCCTTTTGCTTCACCTACCCCCTCTCCCCGGTTCCTTATTTTATCAGTTTGCAAATCTAATTGGGCACTCCAGTTAGTGGCAGTGAACAAAGTGTCGAAAGCAGACAAGCAATATTGTTCTATCGGTGCCTATTCCGAAAACTTGAGCAGTTGCCCGCAGATCAAAAATTATCTTAAGACGATTGTTCAGCGCATCTATAAGTCCTTACAATTAGGCCTAATATGATCTTCGAAAAGGAATAATTTTGATTGATGTGCATTAAAACATTTCACTCGAAAAATCGGCTAGTCATGAAGATTATATCGTTAGGCTAATTGTGAATCTGAATATGTGGTTTACATGGACATTGGCCCAACTAGATAAATTAGTTTTCAACCCAAGCCTATGAGCTACGTTTAATATGTATCAGAATGTACTTTTTCTACCAAACTTTACCTGTGGGAGAACCAGAATCTCCCCAAACACTCCATGGAAGACTTGTACATAGGCCTACCCTTCTCAAGGTATGCCCCCTCCCGACCATACCATTTAATTGCCACCTCTATGATTTAACATCCTTTCGATATCTAACTTAACAATAATGTCTAATAATATAAGGCAATTAAGTTTGCCCACTTGGGCTTACTGAATTTAAAGCTAAAATTATTTTAGGACTATGAAATCTGATCCCTCTACCAAATGTCCACTTTGCATGGTATCTGATCTAATCTAGGCCTGTAGTAGCCAACTTTTCATATTATCTGATCAATCATAAATTTCATGTGAGAAACAATTTGAATCTAGGGCTAGGCTTATTTTTTAAATACAACCTACCGCTAGCCCAGTCGTTATTGTGGGGTCCGTGGGGGCTGAATGCTGTTCTATATGGTCTAGCAGAGATTGATTCCTTTAGCCTAAAAATCAACGATTTGAAACGAAATCAAACAGATTGTGGGGGCCGTCGTAGACCAAGTGACGCACCAACACATCATCGACGTATCAGCATAGTTAATGCTAAGACCAAACGTACCGGTAAAATATTTAATCAAGAAAATGTTCACAAGCACAGTTCAGTACAATCAATATATGTTTTCATAATACTCATTTCAGCAATACATTGTTCTTCAACATATTTCAGTATGTAGGCCTATTATGTGTTTTTATTAAACACATGTCAACTCAATAAGTATCGACGTAACAACGAAAGGAGTACCACCAAAGGGTAATTCTAAAGTTATCGACGTAACAACGAACATAGTACCACCAAAGGCTCATTCCAGCATATTAGGAAGTTTCAGCATACATAAACCATATCCCATTTACTAATAAACAAGTATCCACATAATTACATAGTTCCCTAAGGAATACACATTCAATGGTTGAACATAAGTTGAATGTCTTAACTTGAACTGAATGTCCTTACTTGAATTGAATGGTTTTGCTACAAAATATAAAAATGACAATCATAAGACACAACTCACAATTATAAGAATCCACAGGTATTCGTAGCAAAATACAGAATCTGAACTAACATATACCAATTTGCAAAATGTCAACACTAATAGACAGTCTTAACTTCTGGCAACAATATACACATGATAACATAATGAAATTGTAACCTTATCTTAAAATTAATAGTTCTTACAGACAACTTAGACTTCAGAAATTCAAGCAATGCACGTGGTAATGAAACGGATGCCTTTGGACTACTGTCAGTAAAATTGAAAATTCCTTTGAAGTACATTTGAGAGCAAATTCTCAATAATTACACATGGCATCCAACAGAAAATGTCTACAGAACATAATTAAAGAATTCCTTATTAGAATATACATAAATAAATTGAAAACTTACAACTTGTGAGGAACTATGGTCGAAAATAAAAATATCAAAAAGTTTAGTCTAACTTCCTAAGATGGCGGCAAGAAAAACTAGCTCAAGGCCGTGTGCACAATTTGACCTTTGACATGTGATCTGCGACCTAGCTACAATAAAACCTTAGAAATCAGGCCATATATAAACAAGTAATTTTTAAGACACAAAAATGCAATTAAACAAAAGAAAATGACGATTCTGCCTTAACACACCGGCCCCTTAAACAGAGAGCGTTTAACAACTCAAAAACGGCAGAAGCAGCACAAGCTTTGAGATGGCTCTTTGCATAGTATTAGAACGTGTTTTAACAGTCACGCTTCTAACATGTCCTAAAGAGTCTGAATTAACACTTAAAACTCGAGCCATGT